GGTGTTTATTTTTCTTTTTTAATTTAAAAAATATTTATTTTTATGTGTATGAGTGTACTGCCTGCATATAGGTAAGTGCACCCATGTTGTACAGTGCCTGCAGAGGTCAGAAGAGGGCATCGGATTCCCTGGAACTGGAGTTACAGATGATTGTTAGCCACTGTGGGGGTGCTGGGAATCAAATCCAAGTCCTCTGCAAGAGCCATTAGTGCTCTTTACTCACTGCTGAGCATCTCTCTAGCCCCTTGTGTTTCTTTTTTAAAAAATTATTTTTATTTTATGTGTATGAGTGTTATGCCTGCATGTGTGTAAGTGTACCTGTGACATGTAGTGCTCGAGGAGGACAGAAGAGAGGGTGTTGGATCCCCTGGAACTGGAGTTACAGTTGTTAGCTGTAATGTGGGTTCTGGGAATTGAAGCCGTGTCTCTCTGCAAGAGCAGCCAGTGTTCTTTAACCACTGAGCCATCTCTCTGACCCCTTTGTAAGTGTTTCTTAAATGTCTTTTCAGGTTTTTATTAATTTTTTTTGTGTATCAGTTTTGATCATTGTCTTGGGAACTTGTTGTTTTCTAAATTTGATTTTTTGGCATAAAGTTAAGAGTATTTCTTTGACTCTAAACTTCTGTAGGGTCCTAGTTCATACTCTGATGTCTTTTATTTCTGGTTTTGCTATTTGTATGCTTTTTTCCCTTGATGATTTTAGATAAGATTTGCCAAACTTTTACTTTTGAGACAAGGGCTTACTTTGTAGCAGAGACTAGCCTTGAACTAAAGATGACTTATTTTCTTCCTCCCCCTGCCCCCCTTTTCTGCTTTTCTGGTCAGGTCTTTATTTGCTCTTTCTTGCTTGCAGTTTAAACTCTTGTTTTAGTAAGATGAAAGAAGTAACGAACTTGGATTCTGAGAGATGCTTTTGCGTGTACCCAGGCTGATCTTGAATCTTGGGCTCAAATGATCCTGCCTGAGTCTAAATATCTAGGACTACTACATGTGTGTGCGACCATGCCTGGCTTGATACAGATTTTTTTTTAAAAAGCTGTTAACTTCCCTCTAAACTGACCTGGCTGTGTCCCCTAAATTTGGATGTGTTTTTTTTTTTTTTTTCCCACTAAATAAATGCTTTCTAATTTGCCTTGTGATATCTTTGACTTATGAATTGCTTAGCTGTATGTGTGTTTAATTTGCAAATATTTGGACACTTTCCTTATTTATTTTGATTTCTAATTTCCGTTGTCAGTGGACATTCTTTATGATTTATAAGTTGAGAGAGGTACATACTGCTTTGGGTCAACAATGAACCAATTGTCTGAATTAGGAACTAAAAAACAGTAGCTTTTGGTGGGGGTTACCACGAATGCATGAGGATTGGTCTGGTTTTCTCTTATTAATATTTATAGGTTGCTTAGAATTTAAGACTTGTCCATCAAGGTGGGAGACTACTTTCTGTGTATGTTTGGTGTGTGCAGGTACATGTGGGCAGAGACTAGAGGAGGCAGTCAGGTGTCCTGCTCTGCCTTAACCCTTTGAAACAATCTCCCACTGAACCTGGTACTAGGCTGGCAGTCAGTGAACCCTGGCGATCCTCCCCTCTATCTGAACTCCAGCAGGGGCTGGAGTTCCAGGTGTGTGCCATCATGCCCAGATTTTTAGTGTGGGTTCTAAGGATCTGAGTGCAGGTCCTCAGGCTTGCACTGAAAATGCGTCTACTCAATCAGCCATCCTCCCCAGCCTCACTTTTACTTTTATACTGCATTGCTGCACTTACAATGCCTGTGGTTTATGGTATGTGGTCATTCTGAAGTCTGTCATTAGAACTGGAGTCCAGCATTATTTTGTTTTTCTTTCTTGTGATGCTTAAATATAACACGTTTTTCTTCCTGTTTTGTTTTTTGCTTCTGTGTAGATACTGAGTTGAAGTTCTTTTTTCCCTTTGTAATAAATGAGTTTTTCCCTTCATTGTAGCTACATTTTGATCGTCTTTCCTTAAAGTTGAGCATAATAAAAATTAGTGTATATGATAAAAACTGGTTGAAATTATGTGTTTCTCTGCTGATGCTTTTGTACTGATTTTGTTCAATGTGCTGCAGTTTCGACATTGTGCTAGGCTGAGGTCTCAAGGGTTTGTGCCTAACTCAGGCTTTTAGTGCTGAGCCTTACCTCTTCATAACCTTTGGAGAGAAGATAAGAAGATGGGTGGTAATTCTGGTTTGAGATGAAGGAGTGGAGAGTATGTTACAGAAATGAAGTGAGCTGTTGAGTATTTCTTCAGTTCTTATAAAGTAGATATTAGTTAACTGGTCTGGTGAGTTTAACCAATTTCAGTTTTGATAGATTAATGTCATCTTAACTCCATTGTATCAGACTGTAAAGTAGTTTTACTGAAATCTTTGCTTTTCTCCTTTCCCCCCTCAGGACATTTGCTACAAGATCCTATTGCACCCACCAACTCCACCTGCCAACACTATGTCTGCAAAACTTGTAAAGGCAAGAAAATGATGATGAAACCTTCGTGTAGCTGGTGCAAAGACTATGAGCAGTTTGAGGAAAACAAGCAGTTGAGCATCCTAGTGAACTGCTACAAAAAACTATGTGAATATATCACCCAGACAACACTGGCACGGGATATAATAGAAGCAGTCGACTGTTCTTCTGATATTTTGGCTTTGCTTAATGATGGATCATTGTTTTGTGAGGAGACAGAGAAACCCTCCGATTCATCCTTTACTCTGTGTTTGACACATTCCCCTTTACCTTCAACTTCAGAACCCACAGCTGATCCTCAAGCTGGTTTATCTCCAATGTCTGAAAGCACTCTCAGCATTGCTATTGGCAGTTCTGTTATCAATGGTTTGCCTGCTTACAATGGGCTTTCAATAGATAGGTTTGGTATAAATATCCCTTCACCTGAACATTCAAATACGATTGATGTGTGTAATACTGTTGATATAAAAACTGAGGATCTGTCTGACAGCCTGCCACCTGTCTGTGACACGGTAGCCACCGATTTATGCTCCACAGGTATCGATATCTGCAGTTTCAGTGAAGATATAAAACCTGGTGACTCTCTCTTGCTGAGTGTTGAGGAAGTTCTCCGCAGTTTAGAAACTGTTTCAAATACTGAGGTTTGTTGTCCTAATTTGCAGCCGAACTTGGAAGCCACTGTATCCAATGGACCTTTTTTGCAGCTTTCTTCACAGTCTCTTAGCCATAATGTCTTTATGTCTACCAGCCCTGCCCTTCATGGGTTATCATGTACAGCAGCAACTCCGAAGGTAGCAAAATTGAGTAGAAAACGGTCCAGATCAGAAAGCGACAGTGAGAAAGTTCAGCCACTTCCGATCTCCACCATTATCCGAGGCCCAACCCTGGGAGCGTCTGCTCCTGTGACGGTGAAGCGGGAGAGCAAAATTTCTCTTCAGCCCATAGCAACTGTTCCCAATGGAGGCACGACACCCAAAATCAGCAAAACTGTACTTTTATCTACTAAAAGCATGAAAAAGAGTCATGACCATGGATCCAAGAAGTCTCACTCGAAAACGAAGCCAGGTATTCTTAAAAAAGACAAAACAGTAAAGGAAAAAATTCCTAGTCATCATTTTATGCCAGGAAGTCCTACCAAGACTGTGTACAAAAAGCCCCAGGAAAAGAAAGGATGTAAATGTGGACGCGCTACGCAAAATCCAAGTGTTCTTACTTGCCGCGGCCAACGCTGCCCTTGCTACTCTAACCGGAAAGCCTGCTTAGATTGTATATGTCGTGGCTGCCAAAACTCCTATATGGCCAATGGGGAGAAGAAGCTGGAGGCATTTGCCGTACCAGAAAAGGCCTTGGAGCAGACCAGGCTCACTTTGGGCATTAATGTGACTAGCATTGCTGTGCGTAATGCAAGTACCAGCACCAGTGTAATTAATGTCACAGGGTCCCCAGTAACAACATTTCTAGCTGCCAGTACACATGATGATAAAAGTTTGGATGAAGCTATAGACATGAGATTCGACTGTTAAAGCAGTGGGTCTTTAAACCTACCTCCGGTAGGGAAATAGCTACAGTCTTACGGCAGCTATGGTTCTGTTGGTTTAAACTTGCCGGAGCTCCTGCATATAGATCACTTGTATCAAGTGTTTTCATTGCTAAGTTATATGTGTTAGTGTCGGGGAAATAGTTTGCAGATAATGGAGGAGTAACCCTACAACAATATGTTCTTAGTTCTTACAGAACCTCATAGTTTGAGAACAAATACTGATGCAACTGATTTATACAAAATGAACTTTGGCAAGGAAAATAACATTAACCTCATTGTTTAAGGTCATGCTTTGTGCATAATCAAAGTTTATGATTAAATGTAAGGAAGTGGTATCTAGTCAGTCCATAAAGATTGCGCTAATTTTTTGTGGAAAAGTAGCCATTAGTTTATCAGGAGACTTGAGTGCTGTCTTCACATGCTGCATTGATGCCTCTCCTGTTGAAAAGCTGATGTGTCTAGCTCAACCTTTGTGCTGATGCAATACCATTTCTGATCATGAAAATTGGCTACTGGTGTGTATGTAGCAGTTCTTAAATCAGCAGTATTATGAAATAAAATTCCCCCCTCATTAGAATGTTTAAGAAATCTGTCTTTTAAAAAAAGTAAACAAGTAGATTTTGCCAGACTACAGGTGTTAAGCTGTTTATGCTTCATATTTATGAGTTTGGCCCCTTTGTAGTTGTCTGACTCATTTCTAGGGGAAAATCCCAAGTCCTTTCACTCTGAGTGATGTTCTAATTGGATAAAGTGAAAAGCAGTTTTATTCAGAAGGTAACTGTATTTATATAGTACATGACAGAATTTAAAAAAAGATAAAGATTTTATTTAGGAATTGGGTTTTATTTAAAATAATTTTGGAATAATGCCCCAGATGTATCCAGATGTACGTGCTGTACTTACTGCCATTGACTGCTTCTCTGATTTGTATTTCCTCTATTTATTTACCACAGGCTTTATCTTGAATATGCTCCTATTCTTTTTTTTTTTTTTAGGGTGCTATTCATTATGAAGGCTTCTTTTATTGAGGCCTAATAAAAATGCCTTTTTATGAAGCCTGTGCGTTTCGATAGATTTAAAGCTTGGAGGATTTTCTGTAGAATGCTCTTTGCATGCAAAGCACAAACTGTTTCAGTTTTAATGTACTTCTTCCCTTAACTTGGTGGGGAAGACAAACATTCTGTTGAAGGGAAATCTAGTCAGTTGCTTCAAAGAGCACAGCCTAAGTAAACAAGGACTGACTGGGTGTAGAGATAACCTTATGGTTTAAAAAGAAGAGTTGTTGCTTTGACAGTGCTTATTTTACGAAAAATACTGCTGGAAAAGTTCCAATTTCTACTATGTTCACCATCTCTAGTGAGATCTGATGTGTTGAAGTTGTTTTGATTTGGCACACAGCATGTTCAATGATGGTTACTCGCCTCATACAAGACATGGAGAAGAATCCTTTGGACACAGAGCAGATGACACCTCCTGTTTTGTAGTGTATCCTGGTGTCATTTTCTGTGAATGTGGTCAGGTAGTTGTTTTGTTGTTGTCATTGGGCTTTTAAGAAAAAAACACAAAAATTTTTTGGATCTCTTTTGGTGGGGTGGGGGTGGGCTGAAGCCATAGGAAAAAAAATGTGATGTATGTGTCCAGTATGTACTATTTTGTTTTTGTTTTGCAAGAAGAGTTGAACTATTTTTGATAACAAGAGTAAATGGTGGAAAATGCTTCTTAGTTGTCTTGTCTTTATTTGCTTACCAAGTTTTGGAATTTTATTTAATTCCTTTAAGTGTTAGCTGTGTCTTATGAAACATGTATTTACCTAAAGTTTGTAACAGTTTGTGTTGAATCGAGATGCCCTGATACATAATCATGTAAATCTGTTTTTTTAATTCACTAATGATCACTGCGAAAATGACTAGAAATGAGATTGTACATGAGTGATTAGGATATATTTTTCAAATCTCCCAGATTTTCATAATATGATCTTAAAATTCATGAGTACTTCATTGCTCCCCAGATTTGATAATCTTAGTTTGTTCATTGGTGCATGGGAGGTTGGCCATAGACAAAGTGGAAATCAGTATGTGAGAACCTGTTTGTTATGTAATATTGCCAATGATGAATTCAGGTTGTTTTTAGCACAAGTTTCTTCTCTTTTTTATGCTGGTATTCTCACTGCCACACTTTTGGAAACCTGTATTACACCTTAAATCTATCAATAAATGATAGTTTTCTAATTCTATGTTGTAGAATACTGAGGAGTTTGGGATAGCATGCTCTGAATGGTCTGTATTAATTTGGGGAAGAGTAATGAACTACAGTGCCTTGGTTTGTATATTGTTTTCCTTTATAACATGGCTTATTTATGATGAATAACTGATTAGGAATTTACTGAAGGAACTGGGTTTATTTGCTTCATCAGGATTTGACACAAGACAGCATTTTAAAGGGGTGCATCTTGAATCTTTTTCTGAGTTAGCATTTCAATCAGTAGGTCCCATGGGAGAGAATTCGCCTTAATACATTGCTTTAAGGGGGGGGGGGAATCCCAATAACCTTGTTGAAGAAAAGTAAAGTTTTTTTTTTTTTTTTTTAAATAACAAATGAAAATAAAATTGTCTTTCTCTATAGGTACCATAATGCTTTAGGACATGCTAAACTCAGACTCTAGTGTCTGGATCTGACACTCTGATGGTAATTAATGTATTTTTCATGAGTTTAAAACATTACATTTTAGATACTCAATAACATGCAGTGACAAGTCTTTTAACATATATGGATGGGATTAAAGTTCCCTTTGATCCCTGTGGACCCTTCACTCCCAAACTCTGGTCCCTTTATCCCTAGAGGAAAACACTTCATAGATTGAGATACCGTATTTCTTTATAGTGTTCTCAGGGGTTCGAAGAGTCATTCTTTCTAAAACTCAACTTTTACAGTGTTAGTCTTTTAGACACAAAAATGAATTGTAGATGTGTCAGCAACAAAAGTAGGTAGTGATTATCTTAGCATGATTCATACATTTGACAGCTTTATTTAAAGTTTGGCAAAAAGGGGAAAACAAGTCATGCAGCCGTCTCCACTCAAACACACTAACATTTTCAAAACAGAGCAAATGACGTTTGTTCAATCTAAAGGGTTTTTTTTTTTTCCCGTTTTTCTTAAACATTTTGAGTTGTACACAGTGATAGAAGATACAGGGACAATATACAGAATTTTATTAGTTTGATTACCTTGGCAGTTAAGATTCTATGAAAACCCCCTTTCATTAAATAATATTTAGATTATAACATAATGTTTATCAAGGTTCCTGGGATATTCTAACCAGTTGAAATTTATAGTTTGGTTGGTGGTAATGAATATTAGGTAATATGAGTAATGGCATGATCTTTACCAAAAAGTCAAACAGGAACCTAGTTTCTTAGAATTTATATTCCTTGCATTCAGTTCTAAGAAAGGACTTGGATGAAGCATATAATTTGGCTAACCCAGACTAGTCTATCTTAAATGGGATGGTATTGATAACTGTGCTTTTATGATACAAACATTTAAAACCAAGTATTGACCAAAGTAAAAAGCAAGAGAATTTCAGTGGTAGAATGCTTTCCTAGCATGTGGAAGGCTCTGGGTTTGATCCCCAGCACCACAGATAAAATTGCATACAATTTCAGTGTAGCTACTGAGGCCTAACTAGCTCAGCCCCATGTTCATTTAAAAAAGAAAAAAGGAGCCAGGCGTGGTGTCGCATGCCTTTAATCCCAGCACTTGGTAGGCAGAGGCAGGTGGATCTTTGTGAGTTGGAGCCTAGCCTGGTCTACATAGTGAGTTCCAGGACACCTGGGGCTACAGGGAGACCCTGTCTCAAAAAAGGATATTATAAAATTGAATTTTATTTTGTAAGTTTTGATGAGTTTCAAATAATTTAGAACATTTGACTAAAATATTTTAAGTTGCATTTGGGTTTTTAAAGTATTACTTTCTTTTGCATTTTTATATGAAATTAAAAATAGTCGCTTTCCCTTCCTGGTAAAGAGTGAATGTGATTATTGATAAACAACATGTATCATAAATCTTGTTTAAGACTCTGTAGCCCAGTCCAGCCTTAAACTTTGGGCTCGCCTTGCCTCAGCCTTAAACCTCCCGAGTGACTGCTGGGATTACAGATGTGCATCACCATGTCTGATGGTAATCAAATTTCCCAGTAGGTTAGGCCATCGTACATAGCAGATTTTCTGTCTCCTGCCTTAACCTCCTATATTCTGAGATCATAGGTACCTGTATGGTAGTATTTTTCCAAAAATTTATTCACCATTAGGTTTTAATTCTGTGGGTGAGCTCTTATTTTTAATAGTCACTACTTCCTGTAACTGATAACTTGGAAGATCAGTTCCAGTCATGAAGGTAAAATAACCAGGAAACTGGGAGGATCTTGTGACAGACAGGATTGCTAACTTACACTAGTTGTACGTTTCCTAAATTCTCCCTTTTCCATGTTCCACCTTTGTATTAGCGAGGGAACTGAGACGGAGAAGAAAGGAAGGCTGTTCTGACCCTTTAAAAGACTGAAATAAAAAACTCGGGATGGTAGATAGGGATGGTAAAGAGTTGCTTGAGGTGTGTGTGAGGGTAATCTTTGACTTTAGAAATGTCCATCCTTTTTAGTAGTTTATTTACGGTGTGAAGGATGACAAGGATTTGGCTGCACTCTGGCCTGCTAAAAAGAAATATAGGACTCTGAAATACGTTTACCACTGTAGTAAATAAAAGCTTTCTACTATGGATGAGAATCATTGTTTTGTAATTTTTGTGGTAATATTGAGGTGAATGAAATGAAATACCCGGTCTACTAGTTTGTTTAATATGAAGTAAGGAATACTGTTTAGTTTGAGCCTTTTACTTTTGACTTAGTCTAATATTGAACAAAGGGAAGGGAATCTGTCTAGTGAGAACTTTTCACACTGTCACATTCCTTTTAAGTTTCCAAGTAGGCCTTCTGCTAGAAATGAAGATACATCATCAGCTAATATATAGATTAACAAATCACTCGAAGTCAAGACACCCCCCCAAGAAAGAGCCAAATTCTGTACTTGTCTTCATTTAAAGATTTTAAAGATCTTTCTTGGTTTATACAAGATCCATAGCCAGCATGGGGAGGTTGTCAGAGCTTGCTAGCAAAATTGGAAGGCCCAGTGGTTACAATACCTGAGAATGTAAAGTGACTAGCAGTTTGGCAGGAAATTGTGAAATTACATTAAACCAGGTAAGTTCAAGATCCTTAACTCCAGTACACATAATTAAAAGTCTCTGAGATGTTTGGCAGCTCTTTCTTTACTAGGACAGAGTCAATTCTGAAGGCCCTTACTACTATTTCAAGTTCCAGATTTTTTGACTCAAGTCTTCTGCAAGTGAAGTTTCTAGGTTCCATAGGAGCCTGAGAGGCTTCAGGAAGGCTGGCCAACACGGAGGCAACTTCTGCTGTACAGAGAACTGTGCTTGGCCTTGTTTCCAAGAGAGCCTTCATACATTCAGGTGAAAGTGCTGATTGCAGACTGGGAGGTGATGGTAAGTGTAGGCTGTTACTTTTCAAGGAAAGCTCTGGAAGAGGTTTGAGGCAAACTGGAGGAGCCTCCTATGTTGAATTACTTAAAACAGTTTAAAGTTTCTAGTGCATAAACACACTTGGGATCAAAGCTTTTACAAAGCAGTATGCAAACTAGAGCATCTCTTCACACAAATACTGAAATACTCATTTTCCTCATGTGTAGATGTTGGCAGCTATTCTTCATCCACTGACTGAAGCTTCCCACATTTTTCTGGAAGACTTGAGCTTACTGTTTTATTGGCCTTGTTTCCAAATTCAGAGGGAGAGGCACGTTCATCTGCTTCGTACTCTTCAAAGGAGCTAAAAAATAAAGGAAAAATGAGTTAATTTAGAAATACATTATAGACATTTGGGTACAAGTCAATATAGCAAGCTAGAGACTTGGAAAACTAACCCACAAAATTATTCTTGGTTACTAAATGGCACTTTATACAAATGAGGTGCTCTGGAAGAGTTCACAGTTGGGTCCAGCCTTGGTGATAGTGAATGGTGCTCAGTTAAGGGGTTACAAGCTTTACATGAATGTTTTCATTGATGTTTCCACACAGAGTGGGCAACATTATTAAATCATTGCTTTACATTATATCTTAACTCCGTGACTTCCAATAAGTGTAAGTGTGTGTGTGTGTGTGGGGGGGGAGCGACGATAGACTTAAAACATGTTGGTGGATCTCCATTCTGTTCATGCCAGATAGCCATTGAATCCCTGACTTCCAGGTTCTCCCTGAGGCTTGTTTTATGGCAGAAAATACCCTCTTGTGAATGATGGCTGTCTATCTGAGGTATTGAATTGATAAATACTCTGATATTAATCTGAGCCCAGAAAAATACGCATGGTCATTTACTGAAGCATGTTACAGTATTTTACATCACTGTAGTCTTAATACTTGGGTCTTGCACATGCTAGAGAAGTGTGTCACCATGGAGTCACAGCTCAAGTCCCCTAAACATTACTGAATAGAAGTTAGAGAAGGCTAAACTTAAAAAAAAATTTATGTATGACTGTTTTGCCTGCGTGTATGTATGTGCACTATGTGCATGTAGTGTTCACAGAGGCCAGAAGAGTTTCAGATCCCCTGGAACTGGAATTATAGACAGTTGTGAGGGGCCATGTGCCTGCTGGGAACTAAACCTGGGTCCTCTGAGAGAGCAACCAGTGCTCTTAGCCATTGAACTATCTTCCCAGGCCCAAGATTAAATAAAAGAGGTCAACCTAATGTTTGGGAAATTGTTTCCCACGAATTCCAGCTTATGATGCTATCAAGAGTTGTAACTTGATCAAAACTTTGCAAAAATACATTCTTAGTTTATTTCTGCTCTTCTCCCAACTCCCCATCCTTGAGGTGGGATATGCTGGATATGGAGGCACTATGGAGGAGTGAAGTGGTAGATAGCAGAACTTTGATTCTGGGGAGCATCAAAACGGTGTCCTAACTTAGGTACAAGCTGTTAATGTCTTAAATACCTCAGTGCAGGTCTAAGATATAAGGCGTATTTTCAAAAAGAGTTAAGGCATAAGATGAAATACTTAAGTAATATTTGAACGCAATGCTGAGCTTGGGTCAAATGCTAGGAATACACTGGTGAGACATGGACCCAGCCCCTTCCAGCTCTGGTGGCCTAGTTGGAGGCCATCTGGAATGGTGGTTAAATGATGTTAAAGTATGGATTATGGAGCTAAGACTCAAGGTTCTAATCTGGGTCTGATCACTGAGATGGCTTTGGTCATGTTACTTAACCCTAGGTCAGTTTCCTCTACTGATGATTTTCTACCCCTCAGGTGGAGGTGATTAAAGGCTGATAAATCAGAACCTCCTATCAAATGTTTTCATGACAGAGAAGTATACTAGGGCTTACCAGAGCATGATGGCTACACTTAACCCTATTTTGATTTTTGTTTTTCGAGACGGCCCCAGCTGTCCTGGAACTCACTATGTAGACCAAGCTGGCCTTGAACTCACGGAGATCCGCCTGCCTCTGCGATTAAAGGCGTGTGCCACCACACCCACATAACCCTATTTTGAAGGCAAGATTACTTTTTTAAATCACTAAATTCAATTTGTGCTCCCCTTGGGTGTGTGACCATCCATTGTAGCCCAACCAAGGGCCACACCCTTAAAGAAAATTGATGTTCTCTGGCCAGGGAAACAAAGACTGGCCAAACTCTGTTTGAGGCAAGCCTGATGTACATAGGGAGTTCTAGGCCAATCAGTACTGCATAGTGAGACCATGTCTCAAAAACAAAAACTTAGTTACATACCAGTCAAAGACATAGAAAACTTACTTCTGATTATTCCAAGATTTACTACTTTAAGTCAGTAGTAACTTGGAGAACCAAAGCCTGCTTTACATAATTTTTGTGGAACTTTTAACTGTATTGCAGAAAACAAGAATGCTAATTATAAATAATAGTATCAAAACCTGTTTTCTTCGTATAAGCATCCAGGGTTGGGTACCTGGTACCCTGGTCTTTTTGGTTTCTCCATGACTTCATTACTGGGGTTGAATTTATTCAAATGCTGTTCTATCTTGTGCTAATTTGTGATCTAGACATGCTTATTTACAGTGTTTGTAGCCTTATTTTTAATTTTTTAAATTCATTTTATTTTTAGCGTATGAGTGTTCTGTGTGCATGTATGTTTAGTGCACCCATGCATGCAATACTCATGGAGGCCAGAAGAGGGCATCAGATCCCCTGGAACTGGAATTAAGGACCATTGTTAGCTGCCATGTGGGTGCTGGAAACCGAACCTGAGTCCTCTGCAAGAGCAGCCAGTGCTCTTAACCACTGAACCATCTGTCTAGCCCCCTTATTTAGAACTTTGAAGACTCTTGGCCACTTTTCACCTTGCTGAGATTTGGTGTCATTTACCAGGCTAAATATATTGAAGGGGCTGCAGAAGCACCAGCACTGAAGCAAGAGGTATGGCACTTGACACAGCTACCTGTGACTAGTGTTAGATGGTAAAGGAGGTGGTGACTTTTGAGGTGCTTTTGGAATGTTGTGTCATCTGTGCTCAGTGAGGACACCTTGGTACTGGGAGTGGCTGTGCATTATTGTCTGTGCCTTACAGTAAATACTTGCTGAAGAACTCCTTCAGCCCTAACAGTCTACCATGTGACAGGGTTACAAGACTTAAAAAAAGGTTCTTTGTTTTTTGAGGCGCTAAGTAGGTCCATTTTTGTCACTCATGCCAAACACTGTTGGATACATCACATATATGACCTCACAATCCCACTGTTTTTACTTGTGTCAGCTGTGCCACATCCTGTGCCCTGAGAGTGAAAGGAACCACACAGGTGATGAATGCTACTAATAAGTGATTACACTCTGCTTGGGGTAAGTTAAGTAATTCGGCCTTGATTACAGAAGTGGTAGAAACAGATAGCCATTGTTTATTGATTGAAAAACTGTACTTAACCGGATGTGATGGCACACATCTTTAATCCCATCCCTCAGGAGGCAGAAGCAGGCGGATTTCTGTGAGGCCAGCCCATACCTGCTAGGGCTACAGGGAGACCCTGTCTCAAAAAGACCAAACAAACAAACCATACTTAAAGGCTTTGTATGATATATTTTACATCTTATTTAAATCTTGAAATATTTTAGTATGGCAAGGGTGTCATTGTACAGAGAGGATACTGAGGTTTGGAAGCCTAGGGTCACACTACATGATAGGACAAAGGTTTGATTTTAGGTTTGCCTAATTCCAAATTTCATGTGTGTGATATTCCATACTGCATCTCTCCACACAGAGCAGCATTAGCTCCTGTTACCAGTAGCCATGTGCCATGTGCTTACATATATATCTCAGATTCTCACAATGACTGTAGAAGACAGTTGCTATCTTCTGAAACTGAGCTTCAGGAGTCAGGTAACCTGCCCAGCTGGTGACTGGGCCAGATCTGTCTGGCTCCTAAGCTTCTTAACATTTTTCTTCCCTTTCTAATATGGGTCTGGCAGTTTCTGTGCAACATTTACTCACTCTGACTTATTTGTATTTCCTCACGAGATGAAGACCTTTGGATTTTTAGGCTTAGGCCTAACTTTGGTTTTGGACTAGTCACTGGTTACTCCTGTAATGGGTTTTTCTTTCCTTTGCAGACACTCTAGCACTCGTCCAGGCTGTGGCTGTTGCAAGCCCTCCCTTCCCTTGACACCTCAGCACTACATATGTTCTGTGTAAGCCTTATCTCCCACCACATGAGAAGAGGGGTGTGACCAAGAGCCTCCCCTGCGCTGGTTGAATTTCACTACAGCTGCTGCCTGCATCTTGATTTCCACCTGCATCCCTTGCCTCTTCCTTCCATGCACACTGGTACATTAGTGCCACCACAACTTGAAAAAACAAACATGCTAGAGCCAATTCTATTTTATCTTTAGCTGATACCAGTTTCTCTTGTTTTTACTCAAACATACTATGTGTTTAGTCCTGCAGTCTCTTTTCTCCTTCCACCAAAAGCAGGTTATTATTATTTTTTTTAAGTGACTGTTTTGTTAGAAGAACAGAGTTCAGATCCCAGCACCCACATCCGGCAGCTGTAACTCCAGTTTCAAGGGATTTGATGCCCCCTTCTTGTCTCTGTGGTTACACACACATACACACACACACACACACACACACAAAATCTTAAAAACAACCTTCTCCCCACAAACTCAGTATGTGTACTCCCGATAAAACATTATTTACCTACAAATGTCTAGAAGAAGTCAGGAATTGTGGTGCAAGCCTTTGATCCTAGTACATGGGAGGCATAGGTAGGCAGATCTCCGTGAGTTTGAGACCAGCCTGGACTACACAGCTCCAGGCTAGCCAGCTACACAGTGAGACCCTACCTCAAAAAAAAAAAAAAAATCTAGAAGATATATAGTCTAAAGGGCTAAGAGTCTATCTCTGGGTAGATTTTTTTTTTTTTTTTTGGACAGGGGTTCCCTGTAGCTCCCGCTAGCC